TATAATTGCAGCGGTAATGGTTTTGTTAATGGCAACGCATCGGGTTAGGTGCAACCCAATAAACAAAAAGCTCTTGCTGTGTTATGTACTTGGGCTGTGTGTTGAGGTTATCTAGCACGAGTTTAAATATTCGTGTCTGAGAACAAAAACACTTGGGTGATTACAGAAGCTTTATAGGATGTCACCGCAGTGTTGCTTTAGAAGCAAGGCAGTCTCTTAAGGGGCCATCCATTTAGTACGTACGCAAAAATCTTGACACCCCCCCCCCTCCCTGTACGCACGTGTTCTTTTACACACCCCCCCCCCCCCCACCTGCGTACGTTCGCTTGATGCACCCCCCCCCCCCCCCCCCGAATCCTATAGAACGACCGATATGTAAACCACGCAGAAACTATCAAGGATGAATAATATTAACGTGTTTTAAGCAAACAGTCCACCGCTGGACTATCTAACTAATTTGAAGGCCAATTTGGGTTAACCTCCCCCCTCCATGCATACGTACTAAATGGATGGCCCTTAACAAGAGCATTGTGACCATTCACCCGTCGTTTCAATTCCATAACTTGTTTTTAAATTGGTGAATTGTGGTCACCTTTTCTAATATTCGCAGGTGTCATGTGAATCTATTCCATGCAACGTATACAAATAAAAACACAGCCCATTCTTACACAAGCAAATCGTGAGCTGAATCGATCTTAATCAAGACATTACAAGTGATCATTCGTTGTTAAGGACATCCCAATGCATTATAACCCTGTCATGAGAACGAGAAACTAACCAAATGCAGTAGCTTTGTTATTTTAATGCGCTGCGGGACTTGGAGCCACTTGTCACGAACAGTTGTTTTCTAGTTGGCCTTCATCCAGCCTCGTAAAATGTGAGCCATTTCAAGCCCTGTTCCTACCCGTTGTAATGCATGATAAAGAAACAAAGTTCATCTTGCTGTGTGGGTTGGTCTCTAAAAAAGCTGTCATGCTGCAATTTTACAATCCCACCAAGGAGGAGCAGAGGTCAAAGGTTCCATTAGATTTATCATGATCAATTGCATTGGCAGGCGTTCCATTAATAAATTGTTGCTTTAACCTTGTCTGGGCATCGCATATCATGCACATAAGGGCAAGCGATCTATACTTGGCCGCTTGACGATGAAGCATTGCCCACACGTGATGCCCGCACGTGACACCCGTCCGCGCTTGCACTTGAGCGAGTGAGTGATGTTACTTGGTGCATCGTGTTAAATTAAAAACGCCTGCAGCACCGCCCTGGCTGGTAATGCAGGTCCCTGTTAATTTCAGCACGCGCGTCTTTGTTGCCCACACACAACGTCTCGCACGGGTTCTTGAGAACACCGAGGCGTTTGTGTACACGTTGCCGCTCTGCGCTTTCCCGCTTTAATTGCACTTGACGTTTGACGCAGGTCAGAAGATTTGAGGATTACGTCATGTGCTCCCCATCCCCCTGCTCTCCCTCCTCCGGCAGCTGCCTGACCAGACTTATCCAACGGGGATGAGGGCCACGTGGCTCGCAAGTGGAATGCTTGATTTGTGGGACCAAGACGACCACCTAGACACATGCCGGAATGCCCGGCAGGGCGAGCACAGGCATGGCAAGCCCCGCCAGGCTGCAGGGCCGGGGGTTTGTCCGAAATAACAATAACAGGGCATGTCTGTGCTGGCACGGACACGGCACGTACGGTCGGTGCGCTCGCTGCATTGTGACGGCGCTCGTATTGCCTACCAACCTGGTTCTGATCCGGCTCTAGATGTGACCTATAACCAACTGCTTGGTGGCACAGGCTAGTGAAGTGCGGCGGCTCGTGTAAACTGAGGTACAGTCGTAGCATCAGCTTGCCACTAGTGTGAGGTTTTGTATAGGGGGTGGGGGGGGCAGTGTTTCCGCTCTGTTTACATACAGCAGCTTTTAAATATTTGAAGCTGTAACTGCAATGCCATGGTTGGGCTGCCATCCAGTAACATTGCGTAGTAATTTGCAAACACAACACTGCGGCGTTGACCTTGTTTTGTGTTAGATGGTGTTGCAAATTGTAGGTCACGCTTGCCATTCGTGCTGCTGGGACGCTCTTCTTGGTGTCATACAGTTTTTAACACGAGATTAATTCCATGCTATCAAGCAAACATTAAGTATTAGAAATGTAAAACTCTTGCAGAATTATAACTACTGTTCAAGAGTAAATGTGGAGCTGATTATCACTTTAATTCAATAGGAACTGTGGCTAAATTAATTTGCAAGGAGTTGTCCTTTGTCCTCCCAATGGTTGAAAATTCATTAATGGACAATTTGTTAATTCAGCTATTGGGATTGTTTTATTTTTAATGCATGCAGTCTTGTCATATTCTTCCTGAGATTATATATAGCATTTGCACCCCGTGCAGATTATTTTTTCTGCCTGTGACTTGTCTGTTGGTGGAACTTGCTTGATCCATCAAGGAAATTTTGTTTAAAATTACCTTTGGTATTTTTACACCCGACAGATGGTTTGGCACAATTTACTTGGCGCTGTGTATTTTCTGTGCCAACGCCACATAAAATCCAATACCCAATTTAAAGTTTCCCCATACTGTCGGGCTTGGGTTCTTTGACCATGCTGGTCAGTGTGGGTTTAAAGGGAACACAACTCGTTCAGTTGTCACTTACCTCTATTGGCCATGGATGGGAGTCGAACAGAGGTCGCTGGGATCAGTGCAATGTGCAAACCGCTGCCACGGCTTCGCGTCATATTATACACTAGCTTTACTACCCGGTTTCACCCGGGACTTGGGATTCACCACGGCCGGCCGCCTTTGTCTCCCCAGTGGCGATGTTGACACACCATTTACTCGTTTGAGGCTGAGTCGACCGAGGGGAGGCCCAGGACTGGTTCAAATAATCTTCACCGGCGGTGGCCGTGAGCGGGAATCTAACTCGGATCGCCGGGTTCGTAGCGCAGCGCGCGAATTGCTACACTACCACTCCCCCCACATACACACGCGCGCACGCGTTCATAGGTAAACATACACGCGCTTGCTGCAGACACAACTTTCAGGGTGCATATGGCAGAATGAATGATAAAACAGACACGGAAACAACATAGGCAGACACACACATTCATTACCTGATGATGGTTGCTGGTGTTGCAATCGAAATGTCGTATTCTATTATTTTTATTTTCTACGTGACTTTACCGAAAGAACCAAGGAGTAATTCCTGCAGTCACGAAGGCTTTGAATCTAGTTTGAACCACTTCTACGGGGAAGGTTTACTCAACTCACACTTTACTTCTAATTTAGCAATCTTTGGGAGAACATTAATCAACCAGGCTATGCGTTAACTGTGTTAACCGACCCTCTGTTGCATTGCATTATATTTTTTAATTTGACTAAATTTGCTTTCTCAAACTTTCGATTTTCTTGCTTTAAACCATTCTCTCCTCTGGCCACTGTGGTCCAGAATTCCACACTGCTTCCTCCTTGTCCCCTCATTTGTCCGCTGGTCCCCTCGTTTGTCCATCTCCCCAGTCCTTTCTCTGCCCCGGCCCCTCTCCCCTCTTTATTTCAGGCCTCGGCACAGATTCGTTGTCCTTCTGTTTCTTGGTGTGTCTCACTCCGTGTGTCTTTGTGTGTCTGCCTGTTTTGTGTCTGTTTTATCATTCAGTCTTACCTGATGGTTGCTTGTGTTGCAATTAAAACGTCGTATTCTGTTATTATTTGATTTTATTTTCTAAGTGACTTTACCGAAAGAACCAGAGTAATTATTAGCTGTCGTGGAACTTTCTAGGTGATTAATTAAATAACGTCGTGCCACAACCACTCTGTGACAACGAGGGCTCTGAGTGTTTACTCTGCCCGGTGCGTGTCTGAGAGGGTGATGTCAGCCTCCTTAAGTAGATGTTGATTGAGGGGCTGTCTTATTAATCCTAGTCTCTTTAGTTAACACTGGTGTTCTATACCCGTATGTATTTTTAAGCGCACAAAGGGATTGCAATTTCAGTAAATTCTGACTTTTCACAATTAAATTGTGTCCTGGATTGCATGAGCTCTCGGTGTTCCACTTTCCAGGCTGCTATGCCCACGTTGGTCACAGAGAGTGCTTTGTCACCTGCCTATTTTACCCCATGCATTGCTAATTTGGTACGGCACTGCTCGCGTTAGTGTCCATTGGGTTGAGAACCCTGGGAATGTGGCGCACGCAGAACCCATGTCCTCAACGCTGGATGGGGATGTCCTTGTCGAGTAGCGTCGAAGCAGCCTTTAAAAGCTCGGTCAGCTGGTTAATTTTTACCCGAACAGCGATATTCACCAAGGTCCATTGCTCGAAAATCGCTGTGCTGCATGTGTTACTATTTCAGAAGGGGAAAAAAAATGGTGGTTTTAGTGAGGCTTTTGACAGCTAATGGGTGTTGAATAAAATAAAATGTGGACAATGTGCTCATTCCAGCAGGAAATCGCGTCCTTGCTATCTCATTCCAGCAGGAAATCGCGTCCTTGCTATCGTCTGATGCTGCCTTAGACACAATCGCAGCTAATCAGATTTCCCACGCACCTCCGATTTTAGCACGGTTGGCTGTGGACAGTGCGAAAGAAGTTCAACATGCATACCAAACGGATGGTATAAAATTAAATCGCGACGTTTTGGGCGCAACACAAGCGTCCGTCATCAAGTGGGACAACCACAGCAAGAAACAATTGCTCCTCCACCCTCTTGCCTATATAGCCTCTTGTTACAGCAGCCCATTTTCCCACTTCAGCAATTGTTTCTTGCTGTGGTTGTCCCACCTAATGACGGACGCTTGTGTTGCGCCCAAAACGTCGTGATTTAATTTTATATTATACCTACATGACTTTACCGAAATAACCAAAGAGCGGATCCCTGCAGTCACAAACTTCAAATCTAGACTTTAGGGCTTGTCAATCCTTGCCCTCCTGCGTCTCTTTGTAAAAAAAAAATCTGCCCGCCGACCTGTCTTGACCCCTGCTCCTGCGTCCTTTGGGACATGCTTGCAGTCGGTGGGCGACGCCATGGCTGACGAGCAAAAGCAGAGTTGGTTGGCGGAGGACCTCCCTGCACAGGAGGCGGCGGACATCAATAGCTCCCCGGCACATCCCTGGACTGGCGAACCCCAGGCAACCGTGCTTAATGACTCCGATGCTGGTGACGATGGGAAGGACCATGTCGTCGAGGAAGTGACGAAGGGCGTGGCCAGCGTGGAGGCCCTGGAAGAATCTCCGACGAGCCTGCAGGAGGCCACCACGTCTGATTCTCTGCAGGACGAGCAAGTAAGGCATTCGCCGATGGCGTGCCCATCGCTAACCCAATGGACGTTGAGGAATGTTTGGGCGGCATGGAAAAAGAAAATTCCTCCTTGGGCATGCATTGTGGAATGTAACTTTATATGCCCTCCTAACAAATCTGTGTGCTTTGACTCTGACTTTCGATTTACTTAATTCGACTGTCATTGTTCAGTTTATGACTTTTGTGTACTCCTTTTATGATGTGCAGCCAGTGCTGCTGCTCTGCTATTTGGTGCATTTGGTGTCTGCTATGTGTAGCGTCATCTTAACACGTGGTTGATGTTCCATTTAAAATCTGGTGCCTGCTTTAGCCGAGTGATCCAAAGACACTTAAGCATTCGGTTCGGATGGATTGACTTTAATAATGCATGAGCTTCTGGATTTTTGTCGTGCTTTATCACTGAAATAGCTTTTTTCTTTAGTTAATAATAGCATTTAAATGTATAAACCTTGTCCATTGTTTTTATTCAAATGAATACAATTGAATTGTGTATTCATAGCATCTGCACTAAACTGTAATTGAGTACATTCATATTAAGTAACGTTTCTAAGGGTGCTCAAAAACATTTGTGGGAGACGTCCCCGCGCATGCATTCTTTCGGTAGTACTGCTTTACAAACCCGGCGGCCTGAGCTTCAGTCCTGGCCATGGGTAACATTGGCGACGAATATCTGAACTGGTCCTGGGCCTTCCCCTATGCCAGCTCTGCCTTAAATGAGTATCTCGCTAACAGGATGTAAACATTAACAATGGGGGGGACAAAGGCAGCTGGTCCTATTTCTGGCATCCCCCACACCCGTGTGTGCTGTTCAATCCTTTTGTAGGTACTCCTAACAGTTCCCCCAATCGTCTATTATGGTTACGAGATCTTTGTCCCATCTTCCCCATGTCCATTTCAGCAGCCATATGGAGCGGACGAGGAAGAGGATGACTCCACCGCAGCCTGCGTGAACGGTGTGGGGAACCCAGAGACGTCGTCGCACGACGACCCAGAGGTCGCCGAGGAAAGAGGTGAGTGTGTGAGCGCGCGATGACATCGGGTCCTCCCACTGTTGTGGCCTTGATTCATTGATATTACTGCATTAAGTTCGGTATGCCCTTTCATATGGCAGTCCATTGTGCAGTCAAGTTGTATTGTTTATTTTGACATATGTAGGCTATAGCGACCAATATCCATAATACAGGTTTTTTGGTTAGATCGCGTAAAATATAAATGTCGTTAAACCCGCCACCATGCCAACTAGTAAGGGTTTGTCACGTAAACAGAGCATGCCAAGTCGTTACTAATCCAGCACACCGGTGTGTTGGAGAACCAAGCCACATTTACAATCTTGTATTACTTTTGACTTGAACTGCACAGTTAAATACTTGTTCCTTTGTACTCCAGCCCTTTCACCAATACTCAAGAATGACCGGTGTTGTGGGTCAGAAGGCAAGCAGAAGCAGATTTTTTTTGCCGCTTGGATGGTTGCCCATCCAAGCGGCAGGGTTCTAGGGTGCTGTAGGGGGGGCTGTGTTGTGGGCAACTGAGGACAATAGCGAAATCCGTAGTTGTACTTATTTGACATTAATCCTCTACTGTTTTATCCTAGTGATAAGGATGTTCTATGTCTGTTTATTGTTTTATATACCTTCATTCCAATTGGTCTAAACATAATCTGCCCGAGTTGCACTGCAAGGAAATTATAATTTCGACCTTGGTTTATGCTGTTTTCGAATTCTTCATTTGCTAATTGGTTTTGTGCCACTTTCTGTTTAATTGCTGAGCTTTATTTAATGTTTTTGCTTTAATTTTAGTGCCCCAGATTGCTTTTGCAAAATGAGAATTCTGGTCTCTTGTATAGTCACGTGGTTAAACGAGTGAAACTTGTCTGTCTTTTGCCGTCACAACCCCCACTTGCCAGTATCGTGAAATGTCGTCCAATCGCCCCCACGATCCGCACTGTATAAGAAGCCCTCATCCAGCAGTGGATTAACAAGAGATGTGCATACTCTAGGCAGTTTGTTGCCTGAGCAGACCACTCAAGTGAAATGCAAACATAGTTATGTTTTAGCTTGCTCATTGACACTTTCACACTCTAGCATCGATTGGTGTAACCTAAATGCCACATTTACATTAAAACATTTACAGTTAATTCTAGGTGTGCCACAAGGCTTTTGCACAATTTTACTAGGAAAACGAAAACTTTTTTTTAACCCATGGCTTCTGCAATAAAGAATTTCATAGCAGCAGCAACAGCAGCTTGCAGTTACATCTGTTGAGCCCACTGGTATAACCGGGGTGTGGTTGCTAAATTTCACCCCGTGTTTTGGGTTCCTCAGGTGAACAGTTGTAGGCTCTGGTGAGTTGACTCGGCACTCTCCCAGCGGCTGAGTTCTCTTGAGGCATGCCCCATCACGATTCGCATTTCTGGAATTCTGTGGCTCTTAGGGGGTCGTTGTGGCCAGCCTCTCATGCATTCACGCCCATCAGGTGACTGGTATTGGGCAAGCATTGGCTTATGCTGTAAAAATGTTCTTGTTTGCTTTCCATTTGTGGACATGAGCTGTGAAAGTCTCTAATCTGTTTTGTGAGTATTCACTTTGGCCCCAGGTAAACTAATTTGTCGTGAATTAGTTTCGTTTGACATTTATTTTTCTTGGTATGATGGAATTGGACTTGTTTTTTTTACTTAGCAAGAATAAAAATATATCATAGGCTGTGCCTAATTGTGTTAAAAATTTCTGCAATTTTGTATTTCATTGCAGAACAATCTGCAGATGAAATTTTAATTATTGCCACCATACTGCAAGGTGACTCATACAGCACTATGCTGTGACTTTTGTCGGATTCTCTTTTAAACGAACATTCTAAGACCATGGGTGCCCGCATGCATAGACAATGCGATACTTTGTATTTCCTTGCCCATGCATCTACTCCTTGCTTAATGTTTCTTCGTGTGTACATGTCTAACATGCTTCATGTTTCTTCGTGTGTATGTGTCTAACATGCTGCTTCTTTCTTTCGTACTTGCATTTCGTTGCAGAAGATTCTGTCGAAGAGAATCCCACTACACTCGAAGGTGAAACGCACAATACCACTTGGGCATTTGATTTGACTTGAATTCGGAGTTTTAAACGCACCTTGGTGTTTAGAAACACAGGGAACATGTACGTGTAGCACCTAATAATAAGCACTTGCCCCAACAGCCTGTGTAGGCTACATAGGGGGGGTGGGTGTGATCTTTGTCTAAACCGTGCACACCTGCACACTTGCATCTTGCAGAAGAGAAACTGTCGCTGCAAGAAGCTACGTGCCTCTTGAAATTGCCGTTGGAAAAAGATCTGGGCCCCTTGATGGCACCAACCAGCATGGTGGCGGAGCCGAGTAGTCCGGCTGGTGCTGAAGCAGCCTCGCAAGACAACTTGCTGCTTGCTGGAGCTGGAGGTAAGGGGGAGGCTTATGCAGAATTCTACCTGGGTATATTTTTTGTGTAAGCATTTTTTATCGTCTTCCAAAAACCCTGAAATAGTGGCAATATCAAGAGGAGACTAACAATGTGCAACGTTATAATAGGCCAAATGTGGTGTATCCTGACACAATTGGAACCGAGCAAAGGCATCCAGGCTCGCCGGCCGACCACGGTAGAGGTAACGATCGGTACCTCAATGTGTTTTTTTTTTAATGAGGAGCCAACATTTGACTCAACCGCCCTTATCAGAAACATCTTCAGTCAAGTCTACTCGGCTAAGAAATTGACTTTTCAATTTGGAATTTGGTTATCTCAACGATAGTCACAAATTCGATTTACAATTGAAAGTCCATTTCTTTCTAAGGGCTGTTGAGGTAAAATATTCGTTCCTCAATTAAAGAAACCCATTCTTACCCAGAGTTTACTTCTCTTGTATCTCCAGGTAGAGCAAACGCCGCGTATACTATTTAGGTGTTCATATGCAGAGATGAAGGCGTTTTTAAAACAACTTGCAGTCGTTGATCTTGTGTATTTGCGTGCGTACACGAGGTGGCAGCCCCGCTGGCTTTGTGGTCGTGTCGGCTTTGGCTGACCGCTTCGAGAGCAGGACAATGTGTGGTGTGCACTGCACGTGTTTTGACCGAGAAAAGTTTTTGTAGGAAAGAGCCGTGCGTGTCACTGGTGAGGAAGTCTCCGTGTAAAAAATAGCGAACCCGCCTCCAAGTACAGTATTGACCCACGTTGAACCTGAGTTGCGACGCTGTTTTGTCCATATTTTTTTAATACCGCACAATCTTCTATCTGCTCCGACCAATTAACCGGCCATATTTCCAAACGTGACCTTTTCACATCAATGTATTCTTTATCTCACTTGCACTCGCTTCCAAAGCACAGCATAGCATTTACTCTATGTTTTAAAGCAGTTTGTCCAGTAACCTTAATGGTGCATGATATAACTGTCATTTTCAATGTGTGTTCACATATCAGACCTTTTTAACATCCCATCTCTATACCCAGGGCATAGTGGAACACCATTGATTGTACTATATGTAAAATGTACGCGAAGTGAAAAAACATGGATTGTAGATGAAATTTCATCCCAACGCTTTTCCTTTCCTGGATTGTATTCTAAGGACGAGTCAACGGGAAATGTAATAAAAACTAAAACAAACCCTTAAATAAAGCATCCTGATGGGATGTGTTCCGCGAGGATCTTCCATGAGTAAACACGTCCCCTGGTGAGTTAGTGCTGCGCTCTGGGGGATGTTACTCCTGCCCTGACAGGTTCCGTGCAAGGGACGCGTCTTGGATCTGCTCTGGTTTACATGTCTGGAGTTTGCCTAAACATTCCTCCAAAGGCCCCCACCATCCCTCCCCCCCCAACCTTGCCTTCGATGATGTGAGTTGGTTTCATTGATATTTAAACAACTTTTTATTTTACCAGGTAAAGCCCACTGAGCTATATAGCTCCATTTTTTCAGAAGCGACCTGGCCACAAATGATAACTCGACAAAATGGCTTTTAATGTGAACATTTATAGCAGCCAAATACTCCAAACGGCATGTTCAGAAATGTGGAGGGATAAACTGCAGTACCCGGAGTAAAATCCACGCGAACACAGAGCATGAAAACTCCAAATATACAGCGTGTCTGTCTGGATCGAACTCACGACCTTCTGTATACCAGGCGAGGTAGTTAACATCTCGCCACCGTAGCATCCACGTTGGCGAGACGTACCATGTTGCTTGTGCTTTGTAATAGACTATACATGTAAATTCTCTAGCTGCTTACTGAATTTCAAGTGCTCTGCTTTGAACCCTGCAAACCTGTGTTTGATTATTGGCCACTGCCAACATGGGTGGGGAGCAATTGTCAGAACTGTTTCTAGGCACCTGCTCGTGCAAACCTGCACTGACTGGTATGGTCCGACAATCCCCATGAGAACACAACTTGAAGAGGCCTTCATCCAGCAGAAAATGTACAAAGGCTGAAAATTGTTGCTATATTGAGGGAGTTTAAAGTAATTTCTGTGCATGACTGTAATCTTGATAAAATTCTGAATAATTACAGTAGTTGTCTTGAACCTTCTAATGAGTGTTTAGGCTGGAGAGAGTATATAGTAGCAATTAATCCAGCATTTGTTCAAAGTCAATCGCCATTGCTCCTATCCTACTTTGCATTACCAGTGTTTAGCAGTTACGAGCAGTTGCATTGAAAATAAGCCAGTGAGCGCTTTTTATTATATCACCCTTATAAAGTTTTGTTTGCCCCTACGCGCAAAGGTGTAATCAATGTGGCTGACTGAGGCGTTGGTGTAGAAGTGACATGGTTTTGGATGTGAATGGGAGCCTCGTTGTTAGTCGTTTGTGGTGTGCGCTGCGTTATTGGTGCCGCGGGACAGGATGGCGGAGAAAGTTTTAGATTTTTCTCCTGCTGCTGGTGGGGAGAGTCGTGGTCATAGTACCGAGGCCCATTGATAGTCCAGCCCCGATTGTCACGTCATTTCACAGCTGTTGGTTTGGCGTTGCCTGCCATGGACAGATTTATTGTTGAAAACCTGCGTTCTTAATTGTAGTCTTTTTCTATAGATCTTGGTTCACCTTTATATGAAATTTAGCTCCGCTGAATATATGGCACTGACAAAAGTATAAGTTAGCGCTTCCTGCCATTCATACACAAGGTGGTTTCATTGAATTTGAAACTTTACTCAATTTGGATTGCCCCCTACCGTCAGACTAATACCCGCTTGCAGGCCAGGAGCTGAATCGCATGCCCATGGAGCGACTCCCATTAGGGTTTCATTTAAAATGTTTGTGAGGCAAGTCACGAATTGTGTCGAGTACACTGAGATGGACCGCTGTATCGGGGGCTTAAGAACAAATCATATTTGTTACTCCATAACTCGGTGTTTCTTTTTTACAGAAAATCTTTGGCTTGGGCACGACATGGAAACTGGACCTAGTCCCTTGAATGCTGAGGAAGTGCTGGAGAGCGGTGCCCTCTTTGAGAGTGCGGCCACCGATGGTCCCTGCTCCATTGAGAGTCCGATTCACCAGGATGGTACTTTAGCTGTTGAGAGTGCCCCTCTGGAGAGTCCGCACAGCGATGTGGAGTCACTGTTGACCCCTGCGGACTTGGAGAACCACGGTTCAGTGCAAGAGGCGGCTGATGTGTCGCAAGAAGAGCCGCTCGATCATCACGAGGAGCCCCAACCAGCTTGCGCATCGGAAGGTAAATCCTCAAATCTCACAAAACACGGACTAGAATTTAGTTTATGGAAAAAGGTGTGACGTCAAGTCCATGACTGATTTGTCTTCTGTGTGGTGGGGACGTGTTATCGATTGAGTGGGACAGCTTCAGGTGTAGCCTGGTGAATCTTAAATGCTGGCAATGAACGATTGAAGTGGTCACTGCCGTACTATGGTCCATGCCTGTATTAGTGTTCCGTGCGAAGGAAGCTTTAAGTCAAGACGGGAGTCACAGAATCCTCTTTGTTATTGCCGCAGATACCGCAGCGGCCAAGCTGGTGGAGCCCGCGGCGGACTGGGTGGAGCCCACAGAGCTGGCGGCTGACCGAGAGGAGGAGCAGCTGGTGCCCAGTGTGGCATTCGTCTCGGAAGTGGAGCCCGTGCCGGAGCTTGCAATTTGTCCACGTACAGTCCTCGGCGCGAACATTTCCATTCCTCTTGCACCACTGTTAGTTTCTGTTTTAGCCAATTTGGTGCCTAAAAAAAATACTCGTCGCATCGATTTTTATTTTAGTCTGACCGAGGTTGACAACTCCCTTGAGCAATGGTCATGGCTACCTCCGAAAAGACTAAAGCATGATCGATTTTGACGAGATGAATTGACTTGCCTGAAAGTATACAAACAAATATAATATAGTGAGTTGTTTGAGACTACAGTGTAGCTGATACGGATGTCGCTGGCACACGCTCCGACTATAACCGTTTTAGTCGTAGGGTGTTGATAGTGAGCGAGCCGGTTAGTTCGATTCCCGTATTGACCTCTCGTCTCCACAGCAGACGAGCGGCTGCTGGGGGACCTGGCGTTCGAGCTGACGCCGCCAGCAACCCCGCAGCAGGCAGAGGGTCGCGATTTGGCGCAGCCGAGCTGCGCCGGGACCTCCGATGAGGAGGGCGCGCTACCGCAGCCGGAACTTGCCACACCCCAGCCTCCAGGTGCGCCCCTCGCAGTTCGCTATCCGATTTATCATCCAGGAACTTTATAAAACTTTTCTCTTTTCCTTAAATATTATTTACAGTAGTGTTTGTCTCGTCATGTGACCAAGTGTCATTTGTCAAGGCTCTGACAGGCAGTTGTAAACGCCCGTATGTTCAAGAATGGTCCTCCGTGGAAGGTGACATGGAACGACTCCTGAGATACTTTAAAATGACCTCTCGTCCACGCTGCACTTTCCCACATGGCAGCCATTTTTCAATTCTCCGATTAGGAATTTTTCCAAATCTGGACTGAAGACCATCAGAGCGCTGTTCTTAAGAGCCTGCTTTAAACATGGGCAATTGGAACTTTGATTTGAACCTAGGGACTCGGCAATGCTGGGTCCGGTGCTCTTTTTCCCTTCACTTGCTAGCCACCTCCGTTATCGTCCTTTTTGATAAACTTTGTTTTACTTTACGTGTAATGTTAACTGGTTGTACCATGGAGGGACCTGGTTTCTACCGTTTTTATTAATGTGGAATTCTCACCATTGGCTCTAGTGTTGCACATGGAGATGAATACCGTTCATCAGGGTCAACTTGGCTTGTGTATGAATGGCTGCTTGACATTTCTGACCATCTGACTTGTTTACAGTAGCATCGTCTCATTGATGTAATCGTCACTAAATAACGAGGCTGTCTTTAAGGAAATGTCCCTGGGATGCTCACGGATCTTATTTGTTGTCTGCTCAGATACACCACCAGAACGGGAAGACGGTGCCCATTCCTTGGAGCCTGAACCGGCCGGCGAGCCGATACCGGCCGGCGAGCCCGCTGTTGAATCCACGCTAAAACCCAAGGTGGGGTGCAGTGAAGAGTGTGGCTACTGGCCAGTGAACACGGTGGCTTTTAGGTTTAAGCATCTGTAGTTAATTGTTTTGTGTTAATGGTGTGTTATGCTTTAAGTAAGAGGCTTAAAATCGAATAAAACTTTACTTGTATAGCACAATTTGTGCAAAGAATGCAATACAAAGTGCTTTACATGACTAACTAAAAGGACTGACGCAATGTAAACAAGAATAACAATGATACATTAAAATAATCCACTGTTTAATTGCATTCGAGTGCTGGAATCGGACCCATAAATATTAAATGAATGAGCTAAAAAGACACTAACCGGTCTTGGCCAAAGAGACCAATGCTAAAAAAAAATACTAGGAAATGTTGGTTACATGGCAACATCGCCCCCTATTGTGGAAACTTACCAACCCCATAAGAAAAATGATTAGCTCTGAAACTTTCCTGGGTAAATGAGTAATTTGTTTTGTAGGCCTTTTTTAAAGTTATTTTAATTGTCCATATCTTGTGGTAATTTAACATTGTGTAAAAACAAAACACTTGACTTTAATATGGCATCAAATCCTTTCTGGTTGCAGCAGGACAGTGTAAATCTGTGGAGGGGGTAAAATGGGGACGGCCTGTTGGAGGAGTTGGGGGTCTTACGAGAGAAAGGGACGGTGCATAGCCATGCCACCACTCGCTTGGCCTGACGCCAATAAGACTACGTGCAGACAAGACATTTAGAGGTGTTATTCTTGATTTACATGAATTTCATGAATGTGCATTATATTGCGAGCGTTTTCAGTCTTTGTGATGGGACCTTTCCAATTACTCTTTGCACTTCCAGAATAACACTAACAAATCGAAGCCCTCCCCCGCAGGCAATACTAACCGAGAGATTTAATTCCCAAATACCTGTCATCCACCGACTCTGCTGATGCAGCGCGACGCACCCACACTGCCTACGTGCTCGGACGTGCCTCTATTTTCACCGGCGCCCGGCGCTAAACACGTGTATATGTATGTCTGTGCGTGTGAAGGCCTCTTCGTTGCCTCAGTCCAAAACGATGACCCCCGCGAAGACGAAAGGAGCAGGGCTGGCAGGGCTGGCCGCGTCCAAGCGGCCCGCAGGCACACCAGTCGCCAGCACATCCAAGAAGCCCCGGCCCGAGGGGGGGGTGGCGTCACCGGCAACGGCGGCTAAACGGTCGCCCCTCTTCACTGCCAAATCTGCCACCGCAGCCAAGGCTTCCCCAACGGCCGGTGCCAATAAGGACCCAAAGGGCAAGGTAATGGAGGAAACTGCAGGGCTGTCGACATTCCATTGTAACGATGAAATTTTTGGTGTCTAAGTTTTGATATATATATTTTTTCTCATTACTTCACTATTTTACATTGTGGCATTTAGAACCAAAGATAATAATGCTTTGGTTACCATTCCATGCTAATAAATGGGCAACCTGAGTTTAATTCCCGGCCATGGCTAACATAAGTAGCGAAATGCTACCCGAACTAATTATGGACCCTCCTCCAACCTGCACTGACCAGTGTGCTGAGGTAGTCAAATGAACTCTATGATCGAGACATTAAGCTGTTGATGGCTAAATACCAGTATACTATTTAATTTGAGTTTTAGCCTGTAAGCATACAAAGAAGGATGAGGTGTGACACATGCTGCCTTAAGTGCAGCATGTATCTGCATGGTTCAAGATACTTTTATGTAGGTTTCTCTGGCTGTACTCTACAGCCCTCCAATGTTTTGTTGCGTTGTACCACTTGCTGTTGGGCAGTGTCTGATGTTTCATTTCACATGTTGGAATAAAAAAAGTTAAATATGGTGCAACACAAAAACGCATTGGTTACCTAAATGTTGCTCTTCTGGCTTGTCACCCTTGAACGAGTGAGGATTTGCTGTTTTCGTCATTGCCGAATTTTTTCTTCTGCATCCTTTCCCGCCATCCCAGCTGGCGATGGAGGGGAAGGCGGTGCCCAAGCCGTTGGAGAAACGCGTCGCAACAACGCGCATCTCCACCACCACAACCGCCACCACCAAGCCTGCCACGGACACCCCGCCACGGGCTGCCACCGCTAGGATGGCTGCCAAAACTACGACCAGCGTCCTAAAGGCTCCCCCACCATCCTCGGCCACCGCCAAAAGGACTGTCGGTAAGCCTGTAACGAAGACGTTCGTGAATGCTCGACAAGTTCTGTTCAGAGGCTTGCAACTACATTTCATCCGTCGATCAAAGAATGTATTCTGTTCCTCGTAATGCATGCATATAATTGTACGTGTGACGGTTTCTAAATTGTCAAATGTTTTATTTAGGTTGATGGTAAACAACTTAAAACACAACCATTTGAGAGTGAATTATCTTGCCAAAAGAGACGGAACGGATTCTTGAATGTCACAATTTGGGCTCACCAATCTGTAAAATGGCAATTGGAGGACTGACTTGTCACGGCAGTCATGGGCCTGTAGAAATTCTCCTCCAGCAACTGAATGAATGGTGACCATTCAAAAGTCTCTTCTATTTCTCTTTTTACTGTTTTATTTGTTGTCCTTGACCTCGTATTACTCTTCAGGCAACACTTTCACATTAAGTAACCTTGTTAATTTTCATGAATCCTGTATAATTAATACATGATTCAATGCTTACATTGTGCACTAATTTATTTTAAACAATGAATAATCATCGTCCCTATTACCTGTTTTTAATATTGTTCTTATGGCTGTATTAAATTCATATTGTTCCATTCCTTTTTAATATTATTTTTTGGTGCTGTGGTTTGCTTTTTCATAAGCCCACACCTCCATGCTGAGCAATGGGCAGTGCTTGTGGTGTTGACCCCGAGCCAGTGGTGAAGATTTCGAACAAATGGCAAGGACCAGTTAAACCCAGAGTGCAACCTTTCACACTGACCCACAGCCACTGGTGTCAAGGGAGAGCCAAAGGGAGAGGCAAAGCTGGCCGAGCCCAAGAAACTTACAAGGCCTTCGGTGAAGCTTTCTGGTGTGTAAAGCGGCTCGCACAAATATATGCATTGCCAATGGTTTTGTGTGTTCATTGTGTAGAATAGATGATAGCATCGCCTTGACCGGTGCTCGTTTTGTCCAATTATTTGCGATGTCCCAATTTTGGTGGCACGTGGTGAATGTCCAGTGACGTGCATTAGCCATTTCTTCAAGACGGGAGTTCTGGCCTTTTGTCTTGGTCAACATCGTCCAACTGAATTATATATATTCTAAGCTCTTTCGCTAAAGTCACGTTGAAGGGAAACAATAAAATAATAAATTATATATCCTCTTATTCGGACGCCTGTCACTTGTAACTTTTACATTAAAACATTGCCATTTTATTCGACAGCTATTTTATAGCCTTTTACCAACCCACTGCTGGATGAAAACCTCTCCACTCCATGCACATGACGTCATGGTGGTTGACCATATTTCCCCATGCTGGTCACTGTGGGTCTGTTAAGGAGCGGTCCAGGTCTGGTTCTGACATTACTCGCCACTCGTTTTTGCTGTGACCCAGGAATCTAACTGGGCTCTCCGGGTTCACAGTGCAGTGCGCTAAACACGGTACCACCGCTGCTCATGCCCTATACTTTAACGTTGCTTGGTTTTTGCTCTCTCATTGCCCACAGGAGCCCGGCCGAAGGTGGCGTCGACAGCAGCGACTACAGACACAAAGGGCCCAGCGCCAGCGGGGGCCAGCAACATCGCACGCACCCGGCCAGCCACAGCCCCCAGCCGCCATGGTCTGGGTATGCACGGAGTACTGGATTGTGGTTTAGTTTGGTAGCGCAATGATTGGCGCACACGGCTATTTGCCCGTCGAACCGTTTTTGTTATTTTCAGTCAGTTACCATAGGTGGCGACTGATATCTGAACTTGTCCAGAGCCGCCCCCGAGGGTCGTACTTCGCATTGAGTAGCTGCCGCAGTGGCTAAACATCAGCTCTGGGGCGATTTAACGTGGCCAGGTTTGGCGCTAGCCACATCGCCCCTTTGTGCGTCGTGCATCGCCCCTTTGTGCGTCGTGCTGGCCTCTCGGTGCTTGCTAACAGCCGCCGGGGCTGCATGGTAGGCAGCAGAGGGCAGTGCAACACATTTATTATATTAAGATTTTTTCCCCTTTCTGGCAACAAAACTGAAACCTTTTTAAAAGGATTCATGCCTGCATTAACCACAATACCTGCAGTCAAAATGCAAACAAAAAACATGCTATGATAATATATGCATTGTCCTTGAAATTGATTGGTCCACACCAAGGGACGGCTTTCTTTTGAGCCTCGACCCAATTGGTGCTTGACCAGAGCACCAATTGGGGAAAAACCCTATTACATTTTGGTACTGGCAAAGGAGGTCTAATGATGAAACACATTTATTGTTAGAATGTAATTAGTCCTCCCAAGCCTCTGTTCTCTGCCTTCACCCCATACCAGTGGGGAATTACAGGCGCACAACCCCCACAACAGTGTGGGGGAGGCGCTCATCCAGCAGTGGACTGACAAAATGGGCTCCACAACTACACACTGGGCAAAGTCAAAGTGGCCCAGTGAGTTTTAAATGTACACCTGTGTCGGGTCTGGCCATCTATGTATGTTAATCTGAGGTGTGGGGGAAGGAAAACAAACTAAACACAAGTAGTTCTAAAGAAATTAGTTTTAAATCTAGATTTAAAAGTGCATAGCTTCAGTGGCTTCCTAATGTCGGAAGGAAGGGTATTCCAGACGGCCACAGAAGCACATCCAAAAGCACGTGATACAGTGACCGTCTTTGTTCAATGGCTAGCCATCATCTTGGTAGCTGGTGCATAATGAAGCACATTTAACGCCCCCTTTCTCTTTACACTTCGACCCCCCCCCCCCCAGGAGCAACAATGAGCAGCAGGAACGCAGTGGTGGCCCCTACGCCCAGTGGTGGCACGGAACGCAAGCCCGCACCTTCGTCTGCCACCGCGGCACGAACTGGACCCCTGGCAAGGGCATCGCCGATGGCGAACAGGACCCTGCGGCCCACCACGGCCCCTGAGGCCCGTGCCGCGTCGTCCCGTCCGGGAGCGCCCATCGAGAATGGGAAGCCCAACGCTGTCCCCGGGAGATTGGTCAGTGGCAGGGTTGAGGGAGGCGCTGGGGGAAGCTGCTGTGTGTTGGTCACGTCTGTGAAAAAGAGCTTCATAGCTCATCGGATTTCTCCAGTATAAATATTCTGATTGTGGTCACTTACGCTCGTGCGGAGGGTGAAGGTCGCAGTGGTGGGAGATGCTGCCAGGTCTGGCTGCATTAGGGACTCTTCATATTAAATTATGGAGAGAATCTCTGTTCACTTTTGCAAACCATCCACGACGGTACTGTCTGTCATGCTCGCATAAATGTTGGCGTTCGGGAATGGTGCTTTGAGAATATAGTGGGTCCTCAACAACATGGGCAGATGGGCCATATCGCACAAGGGGTTTTTTAAGGATTCTTAAATTATAAACAGAATTGAAAATAGTGAAATTGTACACCCGAAAATGAAAAACACGAGCTTACAAGCTGTAAATGAGCTCAATTTAGTTTTCATTAAAATAATGGCGTTTTGTTGAACATACCGTGGCACCCAACCTTGAATTATCCCGGTATTTCGAGGCCAGTCTACTGTGCTTTTATTACTGGAATAATATGATTCAATTACTTGATCTCAATTGAATAAAATGCACTGTACTTGGTGTAAACGTGGCATTTTGCAGTCCAAGGATGCTTCTGCTCGTGCCCCTGCAAGGACAGGAGTGAAGTCCACAACGACTAAAGTGAGTGGCTCTGTAAAGCTGCAGGTTTGTGTGAAGATGCACTGTGTGTGCATATCTATATATATGTGGGGAGCGGTAGTGCAACGTTAAGCATACTGCGCTATGAATCCGGAAACCCGAGTTCGACTCCTGTTCATGGCCAACACAGGTGACGATTATCTGAACCTGTCCTAGGTCGATTCAACCTCAAATGAATACCAGGTGTGATGTATAAACATTGCCGCTGGGGAAACCAAGGCGGTCATGCGGGGTGTTGACCACTCCCTCGTGTTCTGTGCCAGCCTTCATATGTGCTTACTAACAGTACTTGCTCAAAGTTTAAGGCTATATACAGAGATCTTGGTATTTGTCTGATATATACAAAACAAAGATAAAGATCCCCCATATAGCCTTAACAGACTGTAGGGGCAAGTGCTGTTAGCGAGCACCTATGAATGCCGGAACGGTACACGAGGAGGTGGGTGGCCAGCACCACGCCCGACCGCCTTTGTCTCCCTAGTGGCAATGTTTTTATCTCCGCACCAGGTACTCATTTGAGGCTGAGTCGACCTAGGGGAGGCCCGAGACCGGTTCAGATAATCGTCACTGGTGTTGGCCGTGAGCGGGAATCGAACCCTGGTCGCCAAGTTCATAGCGCAGCGCGCTAACCGCTACACTAGTCGCTTAGTGGTTAGCTCGCGTGCTAAGAACCTATTGACCCGAGTTCGTTTCACAGCCGTGGCCAACATCTGACCCATTCCTGCACCATCCCCTAGGTCGACTTTGCTTTAAATGAGTAGCTAGTGTTGTGTAAACTTAAGCACTGGGAGACGAAGGCAGTCAGGTGTAGGGTTGGCCACACCACCTTTTTTGGTACTGTGCTAACAATACGACCTTGCTTAACAGCATAATGCTCTTGTACGAATCCAAATATAATTGATTATATTAAGTCTGCTGAAAATGTACTTGTCATTAATGATCTGTGTAAACCTAGGTGTTATGTATAAACATTATTTGGGTGATACTGCGTTGACAGTGGGGAAACACATGCATGTGTCAAGATGGGCTATTGCCCGAACGTCACCTTTTCCTTTTAAGGCAGTGTTTTTGACGTACGCGAGGTTTTTTGGTTTTATTTTTAGATTTGGCAGCCAGTTTATTGGATATAAGCATTACCACTGTACAGTAGTTGGCAATGGATTGGCATACATAAATGTTTGATTTTTGTTTTTGCTCAAGGTCACGGTTAAGAAAGTGGAAACTGATGGCACAAAACCGACCCTTCCCACCGAAGTAAGTCCATTGCCAGTTGTTGCCCCATCCACTGTTGGATGAAGGCCTCTCCACACAATCGCATCTTTCAGTTTTTCTCGCTTCTGCACCTGAGCTGATCTCATCAGTCCACGCATGGTGATCTCTCGACACCGAAATGTTCCCTCCTTGGGCTGCCGTTCTGTCGCCAGTCCTTTATTTCTTACTGTCTCATCTAGGCCCCTGCAGTCACAATCTCTATTGTCCCTCACTACCACCCCCCCCCACATCAAATTGGCAACTTCACGAACGATTTTTCATTCCTCACTTGACTCTTTCTTTCAATAGCGTATCCCTCTACTACTTCCTGTCCGCATCCTTAACCATCCTCCCCCTTACCTCGCCCCTCCCTTTCCCTATAATCACCCTCCCTTGCCATCCCTTCCCCTCTCCAAAACTCAAACCCCATCAGCCAATATTAATGTACAATTTTATTCTTGTAAAATACATTAATGAAAGTGCTATTTAAAATCCTAGATAAGATAATGTCCACTGGCCATCACTCTACAAGTGGTGTCCTGTCTAAGGCGGTCGACGTAAAATACAGTTTGCTAAGCAAAATCCGTTGTGCACATTGTGAATTTTAGCAGTTGAAATGTGTTTTTTTACGAATATCTTAATTTTACGGCCACATTATTGATTGGTGGATCATTTATGATGGCTGGTGAAATAATGAACCTTGTGGTTGTGCGTAGGTTAACAAGTCGACTTTGACGACCACAAAGACGACGGTCGTCCGTACCCAGCTTAAAACTGCTGGGAAGGTCGACGCGAAGAATACAAATGTGAGCTTTGGATCTTGCCTATAAACATCATTTTTTGTGTCTGTCCGTCGGTCTGTCTGCGTGTGCTTGCGAAGGATTTGGCTCGCGAACCGTGGGGTTTATGTTAAAAAAAAAGTAGCCAGGTACGACGCCATAAGCCCCGTGATGAGCCAGTGCTGTTCCATTTTCGCATCGTCAAATTTAAAGTAGTTAAATTAACAATTTTGTGCCTTTTATTTATTTACTTGCACTGCTCGGCGTGCGCCAAAGCACGCATTTGCGCATGGGTGACAGCTGACCGGGGATTGCCCCTAGCAACGCACAGGCATTCATTGGGAGGGGGGGGGGAAATTATCTTTCACGTAAAAAATCAACACAACGCTGAGGTTAATTTATCAGTGCCATGTCCTCCCCCCCCCCCCAATGTGTGCACTTACTACTTTAGGGTCGGTAGATAATAATATTATAGCGCTTGGATACAATTATTGTAGAACGGGCGGGGGTAGCCGCTCAGCCCTCAGCCTGCCAAGGTGCCACCTCGGCTGACTGGGCAATCTAGGCGGGGCCGGGGGTTCTGCACGGGACTAGGCCTCGGGACTAGGCCGCAATACGGCACTCTGTCAAATTAGTAGTTTGTGCTATAGTCTATATACTGCTATAGAGTTGGCATGTACTACTGTCGTGATAGCAGGTACCACCAAAGTCTATGCTCTGCTCTAGTCATAGCAGGTACCACCACAGTCCGTATGCACTGCTGTAGTGATAGTAGATACTTCTATCGAGTTGGTAGATACTAAAACGGTCAGTAATTACTGCTAGTTACTACTATAGAATTAGTGGTTACAACTGTAGTCGGTGGATACTACTATATAGTTAGTAGTTACTACTGTAGGGCCTGTAGATACTTCTACGGTCAATAGTTACTACAGTCAGTATACTACTAAACAGTAGATACTACTGTACACTCAGTAGATACAACTACAGAGTCAATAGATACTATGTTGTATGTAGGGTGTGTAGGTATATATACCTACGCGGGGGTAAAAATATCTTTGGTGGGGGGGGGGGGTTTGACAATTTTTGGAAACCTTTCATTTCAACCATTTACCTCCCCACTTTCTGTAACTTTTGACTTCTGCAACCCTCTTATATATTTTTTTTGGTGGAGAAATAGACAAACGGCCCACAGGGCTTTCACAATCGCTTAGTATCTTTCTATGTATATGTAATGTTTTTAAGAGAAGTTTTGACGTATATTTTTCGCCCGGGCAACACCAGGTACTTCCTGCTAGTTAATAAGTATTAATAATAACAATGTTGATGACAATTTGTAGCACAACCAGCCTTTCAAGTGTGATTGATCTCAGATGTGATTTGTTGTCATCCATGGAATGCTTCACTGGTCCAGTGATTTGATCATCTGTCATTCAAAGTTGTAATTCAATTAAATAATGTATTACCTACCACCATGAAAAGGTTAAGTATATCTTGCCAAAATGTGTGGTCTAGTCAGGCTGCTTCCGCCCCAACTCTAATCATGAGCATTCATTCTCCGAGCCACCCTACGCATATCCATGAAAATGTAAACGTGCAAAACTCTTAACTCATTGCGGTTTTTCAGGAAAATCTAAACCAGTTTGTTGCGCAATTGCTGCAGACCAATGAAACGTGGAGCCTTGACCCGCATTGTTTACATCTGACACTGCTGTGGCCAGTGAGATACATTTTTCTTGGCTTTGTGGCTTTTCCAGGAAACGCTTCCTGATGAGCTTTAAAAAAAACCCATGGCCACCGCTATCTCGCACACAGGTGGCGGCGACGAACAGGAAGCCGCCATTGGAGAAAAACACCGGAAAACTCACCCCGAAAACCCCCACTCCAAAGAAATCCGGTGCGTCTCTGTTTTGTTTAAGACTAGGCACTATTAGAATTGCTTGTTTTAGTGCGATTTCTGCAACATTTGTGGTGTGTGTGGCTCAATCTTCCCTTAGTGGAGCTGGCAGTCTATTTCGTTGGACAACTCACTTCAAAATGAATACAATGCTTGCATGCGGTCTCGAGGTCAGGAAAATTATCAATCTTACAGTCGTGCTGCATGGTCGCTGAACGAGCACTGCCTGTCGTATAGTGTTAGGTAACGGAATTGGAGCATTAATCTTGATACCTTTGTCAACTACAAATCCAACAAGGAGATTGAAACTGGTTTGGACCCAGAAGTTGTTAGTGTTTGCGAGTACCATTTCAGTAAGCAGTTAAAAATTCATCAATTATGCAGATTGTATATAACAAATTTGGGGTGATTGTGTACCCTCATTTCACCACGATGGTCAGTGCAGCTGGCGAGATGGGAAGCATTAAAAAGCCCAAGTATAGCGATGGATCTTTACTGCACCGCCCTCTGCTGTCCATCACGTAGCCCCGCGCGTATAATCTCTGTTTTATCGTCTTCAAGTTGGCGGCTCCAAGGCTGAGAACCACAAGCCCAGCCCCACAAAATCTCCCTCTACCAACGGGCCTTCGGATGACACCCTGGCGGTCGAAAATGGCAACGTCGCGGAGCAGGGCGGCGGCGACGGTGTCGGGGGACACGGTGGCTCGCCGGTGCGCCAGAACGGGAACGCCCTCTCACCCGGCGTCGAGGAAAACGCCAACGAGCACCACAACGCGCCGTCGGCGTGCAAGGTGCCAGCAGCGCGCGTCCCCGCGACGCGACCGGACTCGAGCGACGTCACATTTCAGCGGCTGTCGACGAGCATTTTAAAACTGCTTCGGTGGTCTTACAATTTAGTCTCTTTATTCATCTTTTTGTTTTTCAAGAGCCAAGGATAATACAGTGGGTATGTCAGCATGAGGGCGGGACTGCATGTAATAATGTGCAATTTGGTATATTGAGTTGCCACACCCTCAGTTGGGGAATGGACTGGAGCACCTGGCTCGCCACCCTACCATGGCATGGCCAACGATTGGGGACCAAGTGTTTTTAAACGGGAGGGAAGGAAATATGGAAAAGGGGCATGGACGGAAGGGGGGATTTAAATTGTTTTTTAAAAGGGAAGGATCTAAGTAAAAATGCCAAGTCAATTGAACGATGTGTCGTCCAGACCGATGGGTACTTCGAGAGCTCTCGCACTCGGCAACCTCGTGGCATTTTATGTAACGGGCCACAACACACTGACAATCTGCAGTTAAAACCAGTCCGGGGTTTGTCTCAAGCAAATGCTGCTGGAAAAACATTGGTCAATTAACTTAAAAGTACTCTACGTAGGTAAAGAAAATAAATTAAATCACGACGTTTCGGACACAACACAAGTGTCCGTCATCAGCTGGGACAACCACGGCAAAAAACAGTTGCTGAAATAGGCAAAAGAGCTGCTGGTAACAGGGTATTATATAGATGAGGGAGGGGGGGGGGCGTAGCCAAAGATAGGGAGGGTGGGGGCGGAAGGATGGAGCAAATATTACAGGAGTAGGGAACAGTAAATGAAACTGCACTGCACGGTAAATTTCTGATGGAAATGAGCAGGGCTGGGTGTAAGAGACCTGAGATTGCGATATGAAGGCAAACTATAAAGCAGTTAAGGTTTCACCCAGTTAATAACATCCTTCCAATGATTGCCCAATTTATATAAGTGTATAGACCCTTCCCTGTGTATTTATGAATGTATTACCCTTAAACAGCCAAGACGATACGGAATAATTTGGTGCTGTTTTGTGCCGGGAGCCTTGGAAAAAAAATGCTGCAATGTAAGAGTGCACAGGCTTGGCTGGCGAGGGCAAATGGGGATAGACCATGACTGATGCATGTTCTCCCTCTCCCACCCCCCACTGGCAGGAGGAAGCGCAGAGTGGAAACCCCCAGTTGGAGGAGCCAATCCACGAACAGCATCCCCAGCCTGTGGAAGTCGAACAAAACTAATTACCTTGTAAGTTTTGGGTGAATCGCCCCACCACCGCATGATTTGTGCAGAAGTTGGTGGTACCAACCACTCAGGAGACTTGAGCTGTGGGTGGGGAATCATGCTCTGGAATTCCTCCGCATGAGTGTTTGGCATCCATTTCCGCTTTATTTCCCGTGCATGTCTGGCTTTGGTGCCTATCAATAGCAATGGAAAGCATACTTCAAAATGCAAACCAAACTGTGGCTGAACCGTGCACCAGGGTGGACTATTGATCAGCTGATATTGCAGCTGGGATGTGAGGTGGTGTGGAGTTTGCAGTTAGGTTGCCATTCATTTGTGCTACTGCTGAAAGAGCAGCGAGGTCTGCATACTTTAGCCAAATTAGTCTTCTTGGGTCAGCATGCGCAGTATTGGGCATTACCAATAGACATAGAAGGAGCTGTCACTCATCTCATTAGGTGCATTGGCTATGCTGTGCCTGAGGAGTTGGCTCAGCTGGCAGGCGTGAAGTTTAGTTAATACCTTGTAAGTATGAAGCTTTCAACTTGACAGCTCTTGATTTTCTCTTGGGTGTTTTGCTCTATATGTCGGCCAGTCGAGTGACAGGAGGTGTATACATTGTACAAACCCAGATCCCTGTTATAACATGCTTTGAGAAGGGACCTAACCATGCCCTTTGCAATAGAATCCATGGAATTGTTTTTAAGAGGGGGGAGACCACAATTGTGTTGTCCAAATCAGAATATGTATTTTTACTGGAGGATTCCAATGAGCTAAGAAGCTTTTTCACAGATGTCCAGTAGGGGCGGGTTAGAACATGACAACAACAAACGGTACAAAAACACAATGGGAGTACAAAGTATAAGAAAGGTAAACAGCTCGCAAATAAGCTAAACTGTTTTACCAGGTAAAGCTCACTGCTATAAGCTTTTTCAGAAGCGACCTGGCCACAAAATGATAGGTCAACGAAGTGGCTTGTGGAAATCTATAGCAGCCAAATAAAAAAAAATTGAACGCATTTTTCTAAATGTGGAGGGGAAAAACCAGAGTACGCGGAGGAAATAAATCCACGCGACCCACGGGGAGAACATGCCACGTCAAATACACAGGCGTCAGGGTCTAGATCAAACTCCCCAGGTGAGGGAGAGAACATGCCACGTCAAATACACAGGTGTCAGGGTCTAGATCAAACTCCCCAGGTGAGGGAGAGAACATGCCACTTCAAATACACAGGCGTCAGGGTCTAGATCAAACTCCCCAGGTGAGGGAGAGAACATGCCACTTCAAATACACATGCGTCAGGGTCTGGATCTGGATCAAACTCCCCAGGTGAGGGAGAGAACATGCCACTGTGGTACCCTTTAAATAAAAAAAAACATTAAGTATCATCACCAAACAGTGAAGGACTGCTGCTCCCAGAATTGTGTACACCCAGCAGCCTATTTAAACGGGACTGGATGGGAAGAAGCTTCACAAAATTTCCTGATTAGCCCTTTGCAAATTAACTTTTTGATGTAAGTTTTAATGTCTTCATGTAGCTGGTTGGACCTTTTCTCAGACCTAATGATCACGAGGCATTTCGGTGCTGCAAAATAGTTTTTTAAAGCCACTGTTGTAAGTTCAGGAAAGTCGTTGTAAATGTGCTTTTGCTTTAATGAATAGACTTGGGTAAGCTTTATAATACAGTTGCCCCTTCTGCCAGCAGAGGGCGGCAGCTTTATTTTGACAAATTATGATTTAAGCCCCGCTCAGTCTAAATTCAATTCGGTTTATTGAAGGTGAAGTTTTTGTCAATGTAACGAGTTAATTTGTCAGGAATGATGAGTTAAGTGGTGTATATATTTATTTTTAGGGCTTTAGCCGCAAACGGTAGTTATGTTTGTGTGATCTTCACATTTGTCACAACACTGGCAGCACAATGTAATTTGCTTTCCTTGCAATTCAGTTGTATTTATAACGCATTTAACATATCTCGACATTCAACCATAGAAGAACCTTGTGCAGTGACGGAAAGTCTTAGTAAATGTATTTGTCCAGGGACTCGGGCAATGTTGTAGCTAAGTGAACCGTTACCATTTTTATTGCAAAGCCCAGTCTTTCCATGCCTTGGTGTTCATTGTCAGGTTACGATGTAACCCAAACAAACGCATTATTACGTGCAATATTGGCACTGGTGCACAACTGGACACATTTGTCAATAGCTGCCTTGGGCTATGGCCCACCTTCATAGCAGAGATAAAAATGTCCCCTGTTATAGATACCAGGGCTTTGTGTCCAAGCCTGTCCGATAAGTTTGGCGATTATAAAAGACTATAGCATGTGATAATGTAGTGACATCACTGTCACGTTCAGTTTAATGTGTCAATGCAATGATGCCACGAGAGTGCTGAATTAAAAGGTTTTTTTATTATTAACAATACTTCCAACGCATGTCTGGATAGTGCAGAATACACAGCCGAGTTGTGTATCTACTAGATTACCAGCCATTTCCTTTCAGTAAAATAGTGTTTCTTCATCACGCCATAAATAATTGAAAATGTAAGGTTTTGGCTGGCCGGAATGACCTATTCCCTAATAGCCTGGTTTTTTTCAAACGAAATCATTCTTTGTAATGTAACTTTAATGTGCCTCGATTTCCTGTGCAAATCAGATCTTAACGAGAGGACCCCATGCAGCTTCACTCTATCAGATAGAGGTCCGAGCGCGTGCAAAAATTATGCTACTGAAAGGAAAAACTGCCAACAAATATTGGGATATCCACATGCAACCGTTTACTTATTTCACTTATTTACATCGCCACGGCTACAATCCATCACTTTGTTCCAGAGAGTAACCATGACTCGCGAGGAAGAACATTAGATAACGGATGACTTGGTGGCTTGGAGGTCAAGCGCAGCCTGTCAGGGTTCCGTGCCCACACGCCAACGAGCCTCGGGGCTGGGGCTGCCTTGGGTTCAAAATGAACGCTGCCCTAGGCGCCCGACCCAGTCTCGCGTGCATCCACATTAATTTTGTCGTCGTCCCCGTCTTGGATGACGGAACGAAACATTGGGCCAAATATTTTGTGGTGGAAACTTTATTAGATTGCCACTGCACTCCGAGAAGATGGCAGAAGCCACGGGGGGGCATGGAGGTAATTGCGGGAGTCCGCACGGACGAACATAAGGTTTTGTGGGTTTGAGTTTCATCTCACAGCTGAGGGAAAGTCTCTTTTGTAAAATTGTTAGGTAAAAAGTTGCCATAAAAAATGTACTGCTCCAATTTTTTTAATGGGCATTGGTAATCCGTCATTAATCCCATTTTATTGGATTGTGAGTAGCCAAAAAATACAATTCTAAAGGACAGCTCTAGAACTCCCTTGAGTGGAAGTCCCTTTGCCAGCATTGGTGAGCAAGCAACTTATGGATTGCACCTTTACCTGTTAGTTTAGGCGTTAAGCAACTAGTTTTGGTCGCTTTTAATTGAGCATTTGCTTATTTTTAAGTGGAAGACTTCCATCCGGCCTCCATGATGCTGCAAATTTGCCATGGTGTACACCCAACAGGACGGTGACTCCAGGTGGTGGTGATGTAATTTAACCCCTCCCACCTGGACCTTGAGTCCAGCCCTGTCCTTAATTATTCAAATTATTTGCTAATTGTATGCCACTTTTTGGTGACTTTGAGACAAGTAATTGATTTAATCAATTGTTGATGGGTGCAGCTCTGAAACTAGTTTCGGGGTTGCAGGAGGCAAAGCAAAAGGGCTTGAGTCCATGCGGTGCATGTGCCCAACGTGCAGAAAGAACGGTGAAGCTGTGTGTGGATGAACGGGTAATTAAGTGAATTCCGTTTTTCAGGTGGAGTCGACGCGACCCGGGGCCCTTGAGGCGGATGTCGCGCTCGGAAGACACTTCACGGTGGAGCGGTCGCCCTTACTCAACAATATTGTGACGCCGATAAACGCAAGGGCGTTGTCATTTGCTGCTTTATACCCCCTCACGTAATATCATATTTTACCACAATATTGAAAGTATGGCCATGGACGCTAATTTATTTACCTGTTAATGGTCTTCAAGGTGGGGTCACCTGGCTTTTACATCGTGCAGGTTCTGCCCGCTTTCCCCCTGCAAGGAGTTGGCGGCATCAATGCAGTTTCTAATTGTGTCAAACCTTTAATGTTATTAATCCTCGGTTAAGGCGGAGTAGATGTTAGATCTGAGTGAAATTTAATAATACCATTTTTAGTGTTTGGCTCCTTGATAAAAGATTGATTAGCTGGCTCTCGGGCCTATCCATTTATATCTTGAGTATTCCAAATGGATAAGCATGTTTTTTGAAGGTTAATCGTTGCGGTGAGGATTTATGGGAAGGCTGATGGTTTATGGAAGGGATTGCCCGTTTACTTTCACAGATGGAAGATGCCTCCCCGAGGCAAATTGCGTTTAAGCTGCTTTTGGGTTTGGATGGCAATGAGCTGACGTGGGGCAGCCTTTTATTTGTAAAGGTTCCTTTTGAAGGGGGTGGATTTGATGGCATTTGAGTGCGGTAGAAGTGGTTGGCGATACGCTTGCGATGAGGCCCTTGGTGGTGGTATCCGGAATGTTGAAGTTGGTCTGTGGCAAGTCGTTTTAGAGATGGCTCTTCAGAAAGTTAACTTTGCTTGCTTTTATAATTATGTAAGGGCTTTAATAATTTGAATTATAACTATTTAACAATAAAAGCCTTTAAAACAACTAGCCTCTTAACAAAACAGGTATACACGTCCTATGCAATATGCTTGTCTTCTCCTAACAGTCTGCTTGTAACATTTTAATCTGAGCTTGTTTCTCTCTCATGTAGTTGCCCCTTTTATGTCTCTACAGCCATACTAATGACCCTATGTAGATTATAACATTTTAGTGTACTTTCCTTGTGCAAAACTTGCTAAATTTGCCAGGCCATGAAATTGTTCCAATTGCTAAGCAACAGGTTGTGTTGCGTGAAATGTCCCCTGCGAGAGTGCATTGCTACAATTTTACTTCACTTAGACCCTTACCAATACTCCGATTCTCGAACATTAAATAATACATCATTATCTACCACGATGAACTTGAGGGTATTCCAAACCAGTGCAAACCTTTATCTTTATTACAATTCGGTACAAATATTCCAGGTGTCTGCGCAGGAGGTCTTCACGTTGGTTTTTGTTAGATGCCTCGCCTCCTCCCTCCTGTTGACGACGAAGATGTTTACAAGTGTGGTAATTTCTCCCACTCGTTCGCGAGACCAGCATGCTCTTTATGGATTTTTTTTGCCGAGCACGTGTAGGAACCAGCTTTTGGGGGAGCCCTCGTTGAGCCCTCTAGTAAATGTGTGGAGGATCAGTGATTGTAAAGTGAGAGACGTGAATGAAGGCCAACGCGTGTTGCTCCACTGCCCAAACGAGGCTCTCGCCCAACAGGTGTGATGTGGTTTTGCTTTACGCAGGTAAATGATAGATTCGTTCTTGTACTTTAGGGGTTTGTTTCTCTGCTTGTGAAATTGTTTTCCAAAGTTTGGCAATTTCAGATTTTTTTTTTTTACATTGAATTCTGGCTTTCAGTTAATTTTGAGCATGCAGGATGTTTTTAATCTGAGAGGTAGACGCCTCCGACGTGAATTGAGACATTTGTGTGAAACTTTTCAATAAAAATTTATTAAACTGAGCAAATGTTGACATAAGGTGGATAAGACTTTTTTTTACTGATTGTGTGGGAATCCAAGTAAGATAAAATATATATAGGGTTTTGGAGCAGCTGGATGGATATCAGTCCTATTTGAATAAAGCTGAATACACGATTAACTGTTCAGTACTCTTTATCATTCTGCGTTAAAGTGCTAGGATTGAAATAGCTTCCTTTCAAAATAACATTGGTCGAGTGCACTTCGAAACTTCACTTCTGCGCTGAAACACTTGAGTTAACGCATTGTGGACTGCATTCGTTAAGGCCAGAATATATTCAGTATTTTTTTTATTGTCTCATGGAAAATATACAAATCACGGCTTGATTGTTGCTCAAACTGGTATTACAAAAACCGTATTCTAGTGGCAAAATTTATTTTGGTCAACGGGAGTGATTCTAAAATATCGGTGGTACCCACCGGCTCAAGAAAACCGATTATTCCACCAGACTTGATAAGGCCGAATGCATAGTTGTTGAACAGAAACCATCTGCTTTTGTGGCGAACACTTTGGAGAGAGCAGATTGCTTTTATAACAGTTGCCAAAGTTTAAGAATACCCTTTTTAAAATAAAAAAAAAACATTAACTTAATCCAATTTGCACTTGTATTTTGTAAAGTTATAGTTTGCAATAAAGTTCACTAATACGACGCACTTTGCTCTCCTGGTTTTGTTTAGCTTTCGTTTAAATGTGAAGTTTTGTTTTTCCTGCAGTTACATATATGGAACGCTTAATACCCTATAAATATGCTTCGAGCTTTATATTCGCACTCGTACAGTTGGCGTTTCACAAGTATTGTCCCATGCAGCACCTGATTGTAATTTGCTAACGTATTATTCTGTTCATGCTGCGGTGACTTGGCAAGTACATGTTAAGTCCTTTACTCTTAACTTTGGTTGTGATCAGTCTTAGCAGGGTTTCATGAAAGTATTTTGTAGCTCCCACCACCTTACTCGTTTCTAGTTTCCTAATGCTGTAAAACGGAAATCCTGCCTAGCAGTCTACTCCAGAAGCTATGCAGGTCCTGTCTTCCCATAGCTAGGTTTTAGAATCGCTGTGCGTGAACCAAGAATTAGTGCCTTTGTCAGAGGTAAAAATGTGCTTAAACTTGGTGGTGGCGGTGAAAATTTGAACCTAATCTGCGTTCCGGCAAAATAATCTGGGACGCGTGGCAGCTGCAGCAGCAGGCGATGTGGGTCACTTGACATCGCTCACTGCACGGCGTGGTGACATCGTTTGCAGAACCCGACCGGGGAAGTTTGCCACCAATGGCTACAAAAGCCCCGTCAGAACCCAGGGTTGAAGAGCACGCAATCCACCACGTTGGGGTGTGTGGCCTCGGCTACGTTTTTAAAGTAGATGTAAAATGTAATATTGAGGTTGCCATACATTTTCCTGTAATTTGTAATATACATTGGTATTGTGTTGCAAGTCCGAGAAATTGTGCGTTGCCAATTGTAATCTTAAATAAGTTAATGCAGTGCGAAATGTAATATAAACAAAACATTGGGTTAAATAACTAGGTTGGTTTTCTTGGTTCTTTCGGTGACTTTACTGAAAGAACCAAGAATATGAATCCCTGCAGTCACGAAAGATTTAAATCAAAACTAGGTTGGTGTAGAATGCGGTATCGTTAAGAGGGATAAAAGATAGACAAACTGCTCGTACAATTTAAATAAGGTGTGTAGCAATGTTTCTAAGAATTGAGGCCAACGCAGGGAGTTCCTGTCAACGGGTGACCAATTATGAATTAGAGCATATATTGGAAAAATTGCTATTAGCATGAGGTTCTAAATGGAGAGAAATTGTTGCCAGGAATGTATAATGTAAGTCGTGAAACTTTAAGAAGCTTTGAGAAGACTGACTTTTGACAAGTAGAATTGAGAGCTCGAGGATGATGGCACGAGAATGCTGCATGCAGTTGACGGCTGCTGTGGAACATCGGTGCTGCGGTGGGGGAGATGCAAGACGTGGAAGCCAAGGGTTGAGAATATACATTGGATGCCACCAATGTTTTTTAATATTACTGTTTGTATATTGGCTGGGACTGGTAATGATATATGGTACAATGTACCAAGGTTTGCGTCCTGAATAGGTCTGCTCTTAAATGGAGATGGTGTCTGCAATACAATGCCAATGAATAGTTTTTTCTTTATTTGATGGAGCTTCTAAAATGTCAGCCGGATTTCCAAACTGTAGCACAGCTGGACGTACATCCTGCGGATCAAGGAGGTTTATTTAGTATCGAGACAACCTTAGGCCACGTAAAAAGAGGATGTTCTAGAATTTCAACGTGAGCAAGGCCAGCAAGTCGACAGCACAGATGGCTAGAGGGAGTTTCAAATTGGAGGTAGGGGAGTCGAAAATGACCTCCCACCGAAGGCAGAGCCCTTGGTTTCGAAAAAGGGACTGCTTAGAGGGGAGTCGTGCGATGAGATGGGAGTAGCCAGAGAGGTGTGTGTGGGGGGGGCAAGGCAAGCCCATGGAGGATGTTGGATTGGGAGCCAGTGGAGGGATCTGGGTGTCGGGGTGACGGTCTCGGTTATGAGTGCTGGTTAGCTGGGGCTGATGTAGTAGATCTCTTGGACTGGAATCTACCGAATGGGGCTGGCCTCCATATTGATCGGGACTGGATGGTGAATGGGGCTGACCTCTTGAATGGGTGGCTGGCGCGCTCTGCGTGCTGCTGCATGAATGAGTGAGCGAGGGGGGTCGCCTCGCCTCTACAAAAGCCGCGGCGGCAAGTCCGCGCGCTCACTCCGTGGGGCGCGCCACGCGAGATCGGGCGCCGTGCACACGGGGACAGAGACAGTGACAGTGAGACGCGCGACACGGGGACAGAGACAGTGACAGTGAGACACGCGACACGGGGATAGTGACAGTGAGACAAGCGACACGGGGACAGACAGTGAGACACGCGACACGGGGACAGACGGTGACAGACACGCGACACAGGGACAGAGACGGTGACAGTGAGACGCGACACGGGGACAGAAACAGTGAGACACGGGACACGGGGACAGAAACAGTGAGACACGCGATACAGACATACACACAAGTGAGACACGGGACAGACAGTGAGACACGCGACACGGGGACAGACGGTGACAGACACGCGACACAGGGACAGCCAGAGATGACATGGATACTGCTGTCAATAACAGGGAACGGACTTTCTGACACACAGACACTGATCGAACTAAGATGGTAATAATCATTCATAGGCAGACGGGGAGACACGTGGGCTGACATGAATGCAACTGAAGTAGGAGCAGCAGCAGCAGCAAGCATGCAGGTGCGTTATCACACAGTGCTCCGTTCTATACACACAGCCCTCATGCTCACTCTACGATAGCTCTCGACTGTTGGGGCAAGTGCTGTTAGCGAGCATTATCTATGAAGGCCGGCACGGCACACGAGGGGGTGGGTGGCCAGCACCACTCCCGACCGCCTTTGGCTGCCGAGTGGCGATATTTACACATCTCACCAGGTACTCATTTGAGGTTGAGTCGACCTAGGGGAGGCCCAGGATGGGTTCGGATAATCGTCACCGGTGTTGGCCGTGAACGGGAATGCAACTCGGGTCGCCGAGTTCGTAGCGCAGCGTAGCGCTAACCGCTACACGACCGCTCCCCGTAGCACTCTGTACACACCACTCATACGAATGCACATCGCACGCATGTCTCGAAACACTGCACACACAGTACTCTACACAAACTACACTGGATTTGTGCTACACCCTAGTAATGCACAAAGTGCACGATACAGTACTGTTTAGAATAGTAGACTTACGTGTGCACACATTTAAACGAGTTAAAGATAAGTCCTCTCTATCATATGCCAAGGGCCATTGCCCAAAACGTTGCCTATTTTGTGTCCTCTTTAGTCGGTGCGTGGCTAACGAATATTCCGAGTTTTGTTGCTGTTGTTGGTGCTTGTAAGTCGTTGGTAATCCACTATCTGTACGCACCAGGCTGGTGTGTGTGTAAATATGCACGTGGACGATATGCGTACACACAGCCCCTCATACGTTCTCGACGCATGGTGCAGTGTGCACACCGTGATATCTACCGGTAACCATCAACATTACCACGCTTCCTGCAAACGGTGTCGGGCTTTGCCTTCTTGCTCTTTATCGGCTTTGGCGTCACCCCCAGGAGGATAATTACGACTGGACTCACTGATCCTGGGGATCGTTTGTGTTTCGTGTTTTTAGAATGAGAGTTGGAGCTACAAAGTTGAACCATAGGCTGGCCCTGCCTCTAGGTGAAACCAATCAACTTTAGCGTGGTGGTTTTTTTAGTTAGTTTTCAGATTTTTTTTATCTATAACTTAGCATAGACTATGCCAAATGTCGGCGTTCTCGTCCTTCCACAACAAAATTTGACTTCACCAAGGCTCAATTTATCACTGTGTGTGGCCAGGAGCATTGGGAGTCTGGCGGGGCGTGACTATCTGTAACAGCCACACCCGTAGCGAGAGGGATACTGGATGTGGTGTGCCCGACTCAAACAGATCCGGATTAAATTAAGCCGCGATGAATTTTCCACCACTCACGCCCCGTGACCAAACAACGCTCAATTATCGTGATCATTCAGCTGAATCTGCGCAGTGTGGGCTATTTTGCTTTACGGGCTATTCCGTGAGTGTTGATATCAACGTAAAGGCGCAGGCCTGCAATGTCTCGCTCACGCCACTGCTGGCGAAAGGGTCTCCACCGGATGGAGCTCGAGAGCCCTCGTCAATGCCATTTATCCTATTCTACGCTGGCCCACATAAGAGGTGGGAGTACCCACATTTTATCCCACCACACACGACCTGGCGATTAGACGATCTGAATTACCCATTTATTTGTCGGGATGGAACATAAGCGGGGAGGGTAGGTGGGTAGATGTGTAGGTGGGTAGATGGGTAGATGGGTAGGTGGATAGGTGGGTGGGTGGGTAGATCGGTAGGTGGGTGGGTGGGTAGGTGGGTAAGTGGGTAGATGGGTAGATGGGTAGATTGATGGGTGGGTAGATGGGTGGGTGGGTAGATGGGTAGGTGGGCAGGTGGGTGGGTAGGTGGGTAGGTGAGTATTAAAGAAACCTGCAAACTGTTTCAACTGCCTCCGGGAGATCGAACCGGCGATCCTTGGATCGCAAGTCTCGTGTGCTGAGCGTGACACACGTACGACAGCAGCAGCAGCAGCAGCCCTTCGGCACCCTGAGGAATGTTTCATTGGCGCAACGGCCGAGGTTCGGTCACTGGGGGGGGGGGGGGGTTGGAGTGAGATGAATGGCGGCACGAGACGGCTGAGCGTGGCTTCACGTTGCGTCGCGGGTCGCCGCTCGCGGTTATTGAACTGCGAGGCGGCGGGACTCCCCAATGTCATTCAGTCGTCTCGCACATTTTGCGTTTTCGTTTCTCGTTGCCTTACCGTGCCCGCGAGTTTCGCGTCGAGCCGTGAGCCGTGTCTTGAGGATAAGGGCCCCTGAGCCGATGTCATCTGGCATCTTGGCTGTCCACCGCCACTGGTTGGTTGCTGCTGATGAGACGCTGCGTGTCGGGGCCGGTCCAGAGTTTTGATTTTGTTGAATCAATGTTGCTGAGATGATGCACTCACAGGGGCCATCGGGTTCATGGATTGTGTAAAAAGAATGTTTAGTTGTATACGTTGGTTATGTGGAGAGACGGGTGTATGAAGGCGACATTGTCTCATTTCGTGTGCTGTGCCTCCATCAAGGTGAGTAATGCAGACACGTCGTCAATAATGCAGACACATCGTCAATAATGTAAAAACTTCAATGTTCTTAATTGGTCATCGTTCACACCATCAACAGGAATCATTTATAAAAGCCAATGCGTAACATTCATAATTCGGCATCATCGCTAATGCATCATGACCGTTATCATCCATAACCATCACGACTATTAAGCATTTTTCATTAACTTCGTCATCATTGGTCATCATTGGTCATCATTGTCGTTCTCGCCAGGGCTTCAATTTCCGAAGGGGGTTCTGGGAGTCGATTTGGGACCCGGCCACTTCCCTCTCACTTTGGTTTGTCCTCGTTTGACTGGATCGATCTTTTTCATGAATATCTTTGCGAGTTGTATTGTAGGAATGTCGGATATTATCATATAGGTTTATTTTGGATAGGCGTACCTTATACTGTCGTGGTAGTGCCTTACACCTGTAATCCTTACTACAAGCCATACTTGGCAGTGATCAGGAAAATATCGAGTGAAGAATTAAGGCCTAAATAACACCAATAATCATTTATAATCAGTATCACGGTTAAGGGGCCGTCCATAATGACGTCACGCGATTTTGGACGATTTTTGATCCCCCCCCATCCCCGGTCACACGGCGTTGCAAAAAGTCAGACCCCTCCTCAAATATGACGTCACAAAGCTCTGCCCCCCCCCCAAAAAAAATAAAACATGCTTCAAATCGCTTTAAACTATTGTCATTGTAGTGCGTATTTAATGTGGCACTGCACTCTGATGTTGTAGGATAAAACATTCATTAAAATATCTATTTAATTCAGTAGAACGTGTTGTTTATATTTATTTAAAGTTGCGCATTTTGATGTGACGTCATATTTTTTCAAACCCCCCCCCCCTCGTCACACATCGCCACAAATGTCTGACCCCCCCCCCCCCCCCTAGGTGCGTGACGTAATTTATGGACGGCCCCTAATCATTAATCAGCATCAACATTTTTACATCAACAATTGTCATCGTACATTCATTATCAACATGCATCACCACCACAATCGTCATTTTCAGTTTCTACTGCGTGAGAAGGCTCATTATTATTTTGAGTTGTGCAATGAAAGGATGCGTTTGTAGAGTCGATATCTTATTTAACCGTTTGGGGAAATTATTAACTTTCCTTATTCTAAATTTGAAGCTTTTGTGACTGCAAGGATTCATACTCTTTGGTTTAATTCGGTAAAGTCACGTAGGTAAAATAAAATAAAACAAAATAAAAGAAAACAATTAAATCACGACGTTTCGGAGGCAACACAAGCTTCCGTCTTCAGGTGGAACAGTCACAGCAAAATCGCTGCATCAAGTGGGGAGGCTCTGATAGCCTCGAGCTTAAATACAGGTTAAGGGGGGGGGGGAGGAGCCAGAAAGGGACGTGGGTGGGGGGGAGGGCTGAGTGAAGCAGCCTTTTATTATGCTGCAGGATTTCGGGGGAGCGGTGTTGTACCGTGCGGAAAAGAACGGGTAAAACCCCTTTTTTGTTTTGCTGCCGGGGGGTTGGGAGGAAGATCCAGGTCCGGTTCAATACAGTACACAAAATCCGTGATCTGATCCCATCCGTAAAGGATGTCATTCCTGACTTACAGTACCCCGGTGTTTACAAATTGAGTTGTACCTGCGGTGACTGCTATATCGGGGAGACGAAACGACATCTCTGATCGAATTCGCGAGCACACATCAGATTTAAAACACGGCAGAACGAATTCTTCTGCCGTAGCTGATCACTGTTACAACGCGGTGGGTTATCATGATATTGTTTTCCCCGATACCAAGGTACCCTGCAAACCTCCCGGTTATTATCAGAGATTTGTCCACGAGGCCATCCAGATATACAAACATAGACACAACTTCAATCGAGAGGATGGTTTCAAATTGAGCAACCACTGGAAAGATGTTCTAAATCGAACCAAACATTAAACTAATTTTCATTGGTACAGTATATTTTTTCAAGTAATGATACCCCAAACTTTCGCAGCACAGGCTGGTGCACTGCCGGTGCCAATCACTGTGCTACACCTTTCATCATGCTAAGTCCGCCAATCAAATGCTAATTTTTACGCTAATTCCTTTGTCAAGGCACCTTAATCCCTCTCACACAGCTTAAAGGTGCACTGCCGCGTGCTACACCTTTCATCATGCTAAGTCTGCCAATCAAATGCTATTTTTTTATGCTAATTCCTTTGTCGAGGCACCTTAATCCCTCTCACACAGCTTAAAGGTCGTAGTCTGAGCTTGGCTCTGTTTCACTCCAGCGCAGTCTTCGAGACAGGCTGGTCCCTTCACCTGATGAAGGCCGCTTGTGTTGTGGCCGAAACGTCGTGATTTTTGTTGTTTTATTTTTTACCTACGTGACTTTACCGAATAGAACCAAAGAGTATTTAATAGTTTATTTGAATAGTTTAGTTTAATAGTTTAGTTTAATACCTTATTTTAATAGTTCAGTTTAATAGTTTACTTTAATAGCTCAGTTTAATAGTTGAGTTTAATAGTTTAGTTTAATAGTCTAGTTTAATAGTCTAGTTTAATAGTTAAGTTTAA